AAAAAACAAATAATTTAAAAGGAAATTCAGAAGCACAGCCTTGTAGAACAGTGTTTCTCAACCTGGGGTCGGGACCCCTGGGGGGGTCACGAGGGGGTGTCAGAGGGGTCGCCAAAGACCATCCGAAAACAAAGTATTTTCTGTTGGTCATGAGGGTTCTGTGTGGGAAGTTTGGCCTAATTCTATCATTGGTGGGGTTCAGAATGCTCTTTGACTGTAGTTGAACTATAAATCCCAGCAAGTGTCAAGGACTATTTTCCCCAAACTCCACCAGTATTCACATTTGGGCATATTGAGTATTTGTGCCAAGTTTTGCCCAGATCTATCATTGTTTGAGTCCACTGTGCTCTTGGGATGTAGGGGAACTACAACTCCAAAACTCAAGGTCAATGCCCACCAAATCTTTCCAGTATTTTTTGTTGGTCATGGGAATTCTATGTGCCAAGTTTGGTGAATGAAAATACATTTTGCATATCAGATATTTACATGACGATTCATAACAGTAGCAAAATTACAGTTATGAAGTAGCAACGAGAGTAATGTTATGGTTCGGGGTCACCGCAACATGAGGAACTGCATTAAGGGGTCACAGTATCAGGAAGGTTGAGAAACACTGTTGTAGAAGAATCTCACCCATGTCCCACTTTACTACTCTGTTATTTTGAGTTACACGTCACTTTCCAGCAACAATTCATAGTCTCTGAACATCCGTACTGTCTTAAGCCAGGAAACTTTGGATGGCGGGCCAATTCTGGTGTTAGGACAACATGCCCATTTCTCTCCCCGACGACACCTTTGATAAAAACTTATTTTAATTAACATAAAATTGAACAATATTTCGACATAACACATCTATCTTTACAGTGCAATAAAAATGTGTCCTCATTGTACGGCATTTTGCATTATGAAAATAAAATGCATAACGAGTATGAATCATGTAAATCTGCAATGCATCTAAAGTTGGCTTTGGCTTTGAAAGTCTTTATAAATCCATAGAAAATATTGAACACCTAATAAAATAAATAAAACATAGTTTGAATCAAGAGATGCCTAACAATCAGCTTCAAAAAAAAAAATCTTCAGGTTGGTTTTGTTTTGTTTTTTCCATTTGCTACTAAATTTATTTTAAAGAGAACTTGCTCTCAGTAGTGCTCAAAAGTGAATGATTGCACCTTCTGCGATGTGAAAAAATACGTCCGTTTTTCAGAAGATTAAGAAAAAAAGGTCTTCCTTCATAAAAGGTTGGCAAGTCAAAGACTGAATTGTTCAATGTAACTGTTTTGTAAGTCCTTATTCAAAAGCATCCTCATAATCTTCATGGGTCATCACCGCTGGTAGGGATTTGCACCTCCGCTGGCAGATTGGATGATCAGTGTGCTAAAATCTTGCAAGCGGAGGATATCTTCAGCCCTGGAACGAAGACCGTGCCAAAACTCAACGCGTCATTTCAATACGGTTCAGCCTTCAACCTTCTTCAGTATCGGCAATGCAGCAATCCAGTGTGAATTCAGCTTGATAAAATCACGAGCCCTCCACGTGGCACGTCCGTCGTTGCCGCCCTGAATGTCCAAGACTTCCCAAGACTGTGCGCAGGAAGGCATGACAGTAATACTGAAAAGACCAAAAGGAATCTGAAAACGCACAATTCAGAGTTTGGAGGAATGCGTTTCCAGATGAGACAACCACGAAAACAAGAGGCCAAATCGCTATTCGGTCGGTGGCCGGAGTGTCCGTAGTTTCTGATCATCCAGCCCTTTCCAATATTTGAAGTTGTTGTCCATGTGTTGCATTAGATTTGGCAGGTCGGCAAATGCTGGAGAGAGAAAAAACAACAAAGTGTTTATGGGTTGTTGTAGGTTTTTTCGGGCTATATGGCCATGGTCTAGAGCAGTGGTTCTCAAAAAAGTCTAAAATTAGAACAGCACAACAACAGAGAGGAAACAAACAAGGACATCTAATCACCTCTCAACAAAAGTTTGCTCGAGGCACTGTCAGACCATTATATGCTAATCAAGGTGGTCAGTTGAAACATTCACACTTAGCTCCAGCAGAAAAGAGTCCTTTGTCCCACCCTGGTCATTCCACAGATATATAAACCCTTTTTCCTAGTTCCAACAGACTCACTACCTCTGAGGGTGCTTGCCATAGATGCAGGCGAAACGTCAGGAGAGAATGTCTCTAGACCAGTGGTTCTCAACGTGGGGGTCCCCAGATGTTTTTGGCCTACAACTCCCAGAAATCCCAGCCAGTTTACCAGCTGTTAGGATTTCTGGGAGTTGAAGGCCAAAAACATCTGGGGACCCCAGGTTGAGAACCACTGGTCTAGAGGCATTCTCTCCTGACGTTTCGCCTGCATCTATGGCAAGCATCCTCAGAGGTAGTGAGGTCTGTTGGAACTAGGAAAAGGGGTTTATATATCTGTGGAATGACCAGGGTGGGACAAAGGACTCTTGTCTGCTGGAGCTAGGTGTGAATGTTTCAACTGACCACCTTGATTAGTATATAATGGCCTGACAGTGCCTAGAGCAAACTTTTGTTGAGAGGTGATTAGATGTCCTTGTTTGTTTCCTCTCTGTTGTTGTGCTGTTGTAATTTTAGTTTTTTAATACTGGTAGCCAGATTTTGTTCATTTTCATGGTTTCCTCCTTTTGGTTGAAATGTTTATGCATTGGGTTGTTGTAGATTTTTCGGGCTATATGGCCATGTTCTGTAATACATTCAAATGAAACTTACTAAGAGCGAAACAGAACTGAAAGCCAATTGATAGCATGAGAGTGGAAGGCTTGGTTACTGCCAATTTGAAAAATGTCATGCATTTGGCCATTTCTGAGCAGCTAGCATTGGAAACACTCAAAGATTAAAAAACAGTTGAACTTTTCCTAATACGACAAACACTATAGACTGGTACTGAGTAGAGACAGTGACATCTTCTGGTCAAGCCAGAGAAATTCCAACAACTATCTTTCTGTTTTTGCTTTGACAGGGTTCGTTGACTGCTGTCAAAGTGGATATACATGGAAATGTACTTGTGGAATCAACAGATAAGCTGATTGATATAAAGCAAGCATGGGCAAACTTGGTCCCACTAGGCAGGAAGCAGCCATTCAATGCCATTCAAGGCTATTCAATGCCGTGTTCCAGAAGCATTCTCTTCTGATGTTTCACCCACATCTATGGCAGGCATCCTCAGAGGTTGTGAGGTCTGTTGAAAGTCAGGCAAGTGAGGTTTATGTATCAGTGAAATGTCCAGGGTAGGAGAAAGAACTCTTGTCTGTTTGAGGCAGATGTGAGTGTTGCAATTTGCCACCTTGATTAGCATGGAATAGCCTTGCAGCTTCAAAGCCTGGCTGCTTCCTGCCTGGGGGAATCCTTTGTTGGGAGGTATCAGGAAACAATGAGGGCTAGCTAACGCCTCCCAATAAAGGATTCCCTGAGGCAGAAAGCAGCCAAGCTTTGAAGCTGCAAGGCTATTCAATGCTAAAGCACTCCAGCAAAGCATGCGGGGAATGCGGAAGTACTTCATCAGTGTCGCAGATGGACAATGAAAGCGACAGCTCCCCTGGCAGCCAGAAAAAGTTAAATAGCCTCTGTGTATGTCTATATACATTGTATGTCAAATTGGCATTGAATGTTTGCCATATATGTGTACATTGTAATCCGCCCTGAGTCCCCTGCTGGGTGAGAAGGGCGGAATATAAAAGCTGTAAATAAATAAATAAATAAATAAATAAATAATCAAGGTGGCTAATTGCAACACTACATCTGCCTCAAACAGACAATAGTTCTTTCTCCCACCCTGGCCATTCTACTGATTCACTTGCCTAACTTCCTAACTTCTGAGGATGCCTGCCATAGATGTGGGCAAAACATCAGGAGAGAATGCTTCTGGGACTTGGCCATACAGCCTGGAAAACTCACAGCAACCCAGTTATTCCGGCCATGAAAGCCTTCCCCAACATAATATTTACTTCCATGCTAGTGATGAGACAATGTCCTCCAGGATACTTAAAGGCAAAATAATTTGAGGGTGGGAGGTGGGACAGGCTATGGAGTCCATTCAGTTGTGTGTTCCAACAGAGAGCATGTTAAATAGATGAAGAAACAACTTACCATCCCAAGCATCGAACATGTCTGTGATGAAATAATCAATAAATGATATTTGTGACTTGGGGATACTGCAAGAATTTCTGTCAAAAACTGGCATCACAACTGGCAAGCCTTGTCTTTTTTCTTCATCTGTCTGCAAAACAGGGGGGGGAAATCATAGTTAGTTTCTTATTATTATTGTGGTTGTTGATGACTGGAATTCTGAATTGCAATTGCCTCAAGGGTATGAATCCTTAACTGGTTATTATTCACAAAGCCTATAAATTCATGAACACAGGAAGGTAAAGATTTTCCCCTGACATTAAGTCCAGTCGTGTCCGACTCTGTGGGCTGGTGCTCATCTCCGTTTCTAAGCTGAAGAGCCGGTGTTGCCTGTAGACACCACCAAGGTCATAAGGCCAGCATGACTCCATGGAGTGCCGTTACCTTCCCACTGGAGCGGAACCTATTGATCTACTCACATTTGCATGTTTTCAAACTGCTAGGTTGGCATAAGCTGGGGCTAACAGCAGGAGCTCACACTGCTCCTCGGATTCAAACCTGCGACCTTTTGGTCAACAAGTTCAGTTGCTCAGTGGTTTAACCCACTGTACTACCAGGGGCTCCAACACAGGAATATCACGACAAATGTATCTGCCCTTGCGCTTTGATACTCTGCTGATGAGTGTGCATGCCCAGTGTGGAATACATCTCACCACGTTAAAACAGTAAATATGGCTCTTAATGGGACATGCCACATTATCACAGGATGTCTATGCCCTACACCACTGGAGGGCATACTTTTTACCCAGTATTGCACCACCTGACATTCGTCGGGAAGTAGCAGCCTGTAATGAAAGGATCAAGGCACTGACATCTCTGGCCCATCCTCTGTTTAGATATCAGCCAGCATGCCAATGCCTTAAATCAAGAAATAGCTTCCTAAGTTCTACATAGACACTCGCAGGAACACATCAGCAAGCAAGAGTCCAAAAGTGGCAGGCGAAAACCTGGAAATCTGTGGCTGAGACCAGATGAGAAACTCCCTCCTGCTGGGCAACTTGGAAGGTGCTGAACAGAACATGGTGTACTCTGGCACCATGAGATGCAGAGCCAACCTTAAGAAAGGGGCCACAAAGTGGAGTCCATGGCATGCGAGTGTGGAGAAGAGCAAACCACAGACCACCTACTACAATGCAGCCTGAGCCCTGCCACATGCACAATGGAGGACCTTCTTACAGTTACACCAGAGGCACTCCAAGTAGCCAGCTTCTGGTCAAAGGACAGTTAGTATCATGCCAAGTTTTTGACTTTGTTTGCCTTTTTTATGCATTACAACTGTATTCTCACTTTTCTTCTGACACAATAAATAAATAGCACAATGTTAAAGTCCTCAGCCAGGATAGCAAATATGGCAGATGATGCCACAGTCCTTGCTGGTCCTAAGGGCTGGGCCTGATATGTTATGCTGTGTTCTTGTACCTTACTCACCTGTGCAAAATACTCCTCAGAGATGCGTCCTGCCCACTCTACGCATTGTTCCAGAGGCCGACAGGGATTGGAGACGTCCGCGCACTTAATGAGCATCCGCTTGATCAGGATTCTGTTTTCAGGCGATGTGAGTACATTTTTGATGGAATCACTGTCTCCATTTGCACCCTCATGAAATGAAAGTGTAGAAGTCTAAATCATTATCGTCATAATCAGTGATTTTATATATTCCTTGCATACAAAAAAAAAATCTTTTTCAGCAGAGGGCCAGTTCATGGTCTCTCAGACTACTGGGAGCCCAGACTATAGTTTGAAAGAAACATAAACACATTCCTATGCACATAGGATGACGACGACGACTACTACTACTACAAAGGAGACGGAGAAGGAGAAGGAGAAGGAGAAGGAGGAGGAGGAGGAGGAGGAGGAGAAGAAGAAGAAGAAGAAGAAGAAGAAACTGGAAAAGCTGACATGATGTGAGGATCTAAAAAATCGAACTGCAAAAACTCTGGCACAAGCCTGTAAAGGTGGTCCCAGTGGTGATTGGCACGATGGGTGCAGTGCCTAAAGACCTTGGCCTGCACTTAAACACAATCGGCGCTGACACAATTACCATCTGCCAGCTGCAAAAGGCCACCCTACTAGGATCTGCACGCATTATTCGCCGATACATCACACAGTCCTAGACACTTGGAAAGTGTCCAATGTATGATCCAATACAACAGCCAGCAGAGTGACCTTGTTTGCTGTGTACTCATCTTGTTGTGTTTCAAATAATAATGATAACAATAATAAATCTTTATTTGTACCCAGCCACTACCTCCCCAAAGGGACTCGGGGCATCTCACAGAAGCGCTCCAAGTGCCACACACAGGCAGCAATACATAAACACAACCACAATGGCACAAGTACAATCTTTTTGCTAGTGCAAAGAAAGATCATTCTATGTAATGCGATGTTGGTTGCTGGGTTATAAATGTCAATTGGTTCTATCATAAAAAAATATGGGGAAAATATGCAGCACATTTTGCTCTAGTTTTTCTTTTTTAAAATTATCTTTATTGAAAGTTTTTACAATTAACAAATAATAAAAATAAATACAGACTATTAGGTATTTTGGGGAAAGGAAAGAGGGGTGGGACAGGGAAATGGGAATACAGGAGTGTGGAGAGGGATGGATGGGGAACTATCTTGGCTTCCCAATCTTCTTCCTTGTGTCATCTTCTTGTCTAGCATCAGGTGTGTGTTTATGTGTGTGTGTGTATTATATATATACATATATGCCTTTATTTTATACTTCCCTCTTTCTCTTAATCTACAACTGAGTCCTTCTTTCATTGTTTCCAACTTTCAATTTCCTACTTTATCTCTATTGTATACTCATATAGTCTTTAAACAATTTCCAATCTGAATGTGCACAGATGACGTTGTCATCAGCATATTGGAGTTCTATAACAAATGTTGTTGTAACCTTGGTTTTGGCTTTCAGTCTGCTGTGGTTAAATAGCTTGCCATCAGATAGATGATTTCCACTCCAGTGGGAAGCTTCCCATCAACAAGATGAAGCATCATAGCAATGAAGATGGAAAATAAGGTTGGGGCAATAACACATCCCTGTTTGACACCTGATTCCACCTTAAATGGGTCACTTTGGGAGCCATTGCTGCCCAAGACTGTTGCCATCATGGGCTAAAGCCAGTACTTTGATTTGTGCCCGGTAGCAAAAACAAAGTTTTGGAGTATAACTACTTTCAAAGTAAGTGTCACAGGATTAAACAGGAAACAATGCTCTCAAACCAGAAACAGTTTTTTCCAAATGTTACATGGTATTATTTTTCTCTCCTCTCTTTCTTATGTGTGTTTATACGTGTGTGATTGGAAACACCACTAATGATGGAGGCAAGGCAGATGTCCTTGATTAATTAAGCTATCATGCAAAGCTTTGATGCTGCATGGGCAGAATCGAGACATCCAGTCTGGGATCCATGTTCCCATCCCATGCGCAGCTCCCCCATTTGATCATGTTTTACAATGGTGCCTCAATGGGATTTCCATTGTTCACCAAAGACCAACTGCTGGGCCGGCCAAAGGAATTGGTGCTTTGGCTCTTGTTTGGCTGACTTCAAAATACTTGGATCCAACCCAATTTGGAGCGGAATGAATGGCAAGATCTCAAGGGAAGCTCAAAGGAGCCCTTTGTGAAAATATAAAAACAGCCACCTCCTGCACAGAGTCATACAAAGAACAATAAACTTCTTACCCTTTGCTACTCAAAAGTATACTACACATTATGGGAGAAATACAGTAGCTAGGATATCAATTTCCAGCCATTTTTGTTGTTGAGAAGAGGGTGTTCGGCACCTTTTAAAAAACCATAATGAGAAAGTGTCTTCTTCTTGGTATGCAGAATTATCAAACCAGCACAAAACCAATTGGAAATTGGCAAAGTGCTGGATGGAAGATGCCAAAAGCTCTGTTCTCAACAGTCCCAAATGCTGAAATGATTTCCTCAGCCACTTGCGAGGGGGAATGAATGCATTCATGTGTGGAAGAAAGGAAGAAACAAGAGTTCGTATTAGGCTTTTTTGATCAAGAAAAATTTGGTTCTAAACTCGCTTTGTTTCCAGGGGGCGCCAGCGTTTCGAATTTCAAAGGACTTCCAAAATTTAAGATTTCAAAGTTTTGAAATTTCCGAAATTTCGTTAATTACGAATCAATTTGTTAATGGCGGGCGCGATTGCGCAATGCGCAAAAAACACCTCCAAACGGGACAGGGGGAACTTCTGAAGCATCCCTCTCCCTCTGTTGCTGACTGTTAATGATAAAACTTACAACTAACAGAAACTAAATTAAAATAAATTCAGGATGAAATTAAAATACATTAAGTTAGTAAAAATACAAATTAAAATCACTTAAAATTAAATAAATAAATAATAAAATAATAAAATAAGTAATAAGTAATAAGATAATAAAATATCTCCAGGAGGAGGAGGAGGAGGAGGAGTATGGGAAGGAAAGGCAACACTGGCACCTTTTCTCTCCTTCTTTCCCGTCTTAATAATTATGAAATAATTACGAAAATTTGGAAAAATTGTTTCAATTCTTAATTACTCCTCACACTATTCCTGCATGGCTCAATATTGGATTGTAAGCTAATTTAAATACTAATTAATAACAACTTTAGAAACTAACGAACACGATCAAACAAGCCTAGTTCGTATCCTTCCAACACAATGCGGAAGAGGAGAGAGGAGCAAACATGGCTCAAATTACTGCTCAATTCTGGGCCAAGGACCCACTGATATTTCCATGTGTACCAACAAAATATGCTTGGCATATGCACGTTTTATGTGTGTTTACAAAATGATAACTATAACGAATTACTTAATTTATTGGATTTTTAAAGAAAATAGGTTTTATTGAGTGATATATAGTGCAGGCAGATTGGTTTGAAACGCAGCCGTTTGTTTGGCTGCGTTGCCATAGCGACGTAGGCTTCCATGCAGAAGCAAAAGGGACGGAGCTAACTACAGGGTGAAGCAGCATAACTTCCTTTTCTAAAATGCGTGCCATTCAGTCAGTTGAAGACGTAGCAGAGCGCTAGTGGTCTTGTTTGAGAGGTGGGAGTATAAAGTTTTGTCCTGACACAGTTCAGTCGCCATCATGCGTTGGA